CACCCAAACAGCATTTGTAGACACAGTCACCTGAACGCTTTTCTGCCTCCCTCTTAATACAGCTTAGACCAATATAACATGTACTCACCTGCTATAAATCACAGACGACGCTTGAATACTCGTATTATTTCTTCAGACACAAATGAACTCCGGCTTATGTTTACTACGCGCCCGCTCTTTCTGAGCGCTTCAGCTTGCCGTAGTTACCTTTCACCCCATGGACACGACAGCTAAACGCTGATTGGACGCGAAAGCTTGTTTGATTTGATGTCAACACAGTAAACGTTGTGTTACATATCAGGATGGAAGAAAAATGCACTATATTAAAAGCTTTACAGCAATAATAAAAATGTGAAAATATGTTTTGCGCTTATTAAATATGTTGTAAATAAATTAAAAATTAAATTAAATTAAATGTATGCATTTAGCAGACGCTTTTATCCGTGCATTCAGGCTATACATTTTTTTTTATCAGTATGTTTAATATAAATATAAATAAATATGTTTAAATTTAATTTAATTTAGGCCTAAATATATGTGATTCGTTTTATTTCATGTGAACACGGTAAAAATACAGTGTGTTATATGATGTTAGAAGCTATACTGAATTTTACAGCAGTAATAAAAAAAAATTCCCCTTGCTCTTATTAAATGTATACTTATTTAAAAAAATATATATATATATATATATATCAAACATGTTAGTTTCTATTTCTGCGACGTCGCGGCTGGAACAACAACATACAAACTGACCTAATATTTAAAAAAAATGAAGCAAACGTTAAAACTGCGAACCAACAACTGTTATTATGACAAAGATCGTATCCGTCACTCAGTATGTACTTTTAATAATTTTAAAAAGGTTTAATATTTCTGAATTAGATTATAAACGTCTATTTCTATTTCGCGTCGCGTCTGGTGTGGACACGGTGTTTGGAGATTGGGAATAACATTTTATAGCCCATATATATATATATATATTTTTTTTTTTTTCATCATTTACCAAACCTGTATGAATTTCTTTTTCTAATATTTTTTTTTAAAATGAAGCAAACGTTAAAACTGCGAACCAACAACTGTTATTATTATGACAAAGATCGTATCCGTCACTCAGTATGTACTTTTAATAATTTTAAAAAGGTTTAATATTTCTGAATTAGATTATAAACGTCTATTTCTATTTCGCGTCGTCAACATTCTCAAATTTCAAATAGATATGAAGAATAATATGAAACCAAGCAGTATCTTTTTCCAGGTCAGGACCATAGACTGTGATGGGATTTGAGTGGCGCGTCATACGGCGCTCTGGGCAGGAATGATCCACAGCCGAGGAATGAGTGAGCGCACTATAACTCATGATGGTGATGGTTGCTGTGTGCCTACTTCATCCATCACCACGGTCTTCTGCATGGCAAACCGCTGCAAAGAAAATGAGAGGGCCAAAGCTATTTTCCGACGGCTGGTTCGTTCTTGGTGTCGTAGAAATGTGACTTTTAGGATAGACGTAGCAACCGTAGCACTTGGTAGGTGGATAATGGATATTTTATAGGCGGTCGATGAATGATTGTTTGATTGTTGGAATTTATGGAGGTTTTTTTTTTTTTAAAGTCATGTTATTTTGATAGCTGGAAAATATATCAATTTAATGAACTACTTAAAAAAAGCTGACTTTAAATGTGTTTTTGGAATTCAAAGCTTGCCCATACTATCCACACGAAATCACTGATATAGCTTAGATGTCTTGAGAGAGAGAAGAAGAAGAAAAAAACAACAACTGGAAAAAACTCAAAGGGTCAAGATTGCGGAGAGAGAGAGAGAGCAAATCAGAAACACTCTCCATCTGTCAGTCATTTAGTACTAAGGTCATGCATGCAGATTACTTCAAAGCTAGCTGGTATGACCGTAAAGCCAGGAAAGAAAGAAAGAAAGTTAAAATGCAGTCTATTTTATTGGCTTTTTTGTGGGTTTCGCTCAAAGCTTTCAAGCACTATATCGCCCACTAGATAGCGCCACTGTCTCGGTATGTTGAGGACAGGTGTCTCATTTTACTGCCATTTGCATTCTGTGGCAGGTGTTTGCGTCAAATTAGTCGGTATTTTCATCTAAACAGACTCAAGACTCTCATTCCAAACTATGATGGAAGCAGCCCCCTCTCTTGATCTGATAATTAAAATGAGCCCTGCAGATAGTTTAGGTCAGGGGTGTCCATACTCGGTCCTGGAGGGCCGGTGTCCTGAAGAGTTTAGCTCCAACCCCAATTAAACACACCTGAACCAGCTAATCAAGCTCTTACTAGGCATACTAGAAACTTAAAAGCAGGTGTGTTGAGGCAAGTTGGAGCTAAACTCTGCAGGACACCGGCCCTCCAGGACCGAGTTTGGGCACCCCTGGTTAAGGTGATATAACTGGTTAAATAGATTTAGTCATCTCAGTGGAGGGATTTCAGGGAAATAGGACATAGGACATAGGACATGTCCTGTTAAACCTGTTAAACTACACGTATGGTCTTAACAGACACTTAACACATGCATGTTGTGGCCCAGTAAATGGTGTTTGCTGGGTTTATAAGACTGAGACATAGTTTTGTGAGTCACCTTTAATTTTTAAAGGAATAGTTGACCCCAAATTGAACAATTGCTGAAAATGTATTCATTCTCAGGCCATCCAATATGTAGATGAGTTTGTTTGTTCTTGGGAACAGGTTTGGAGAAATGTATAAATCACTTGCTCACCAATGGATCCTCTGTAGTGAATGGGTGCCATCAGAATGAGAGTCCAAACAGCTGATAAAAACATCACAATAATCCACAAGTAATCCACACGACTCCAGTCCATCAGTTAACATCTTGTGAAGTAAAAAGCTCTGTGTTTGTAAGACACAAATCCATCATTAAGATGTTGTAAATGTAAATTTTTGTTTTTGGTCAAAATACCTGCCCATAATCCATAATAACACTTCCTTCAGTGGAAAAAGTCCATCCCCTGCTGTCCTCTCACACCAAAATCCACCAACATATTTGTTTAGAACTGTTTTTCGCTTGTAAACGGTGCTTGATCTGTGCATATGTATCTCCTGATTCAGACAACTTGAGATGACTTGTACACTGGAGAAAGCAATATTATGGATAGAGGACTCCAGTTAATATTTTAACTGGATGCAGCGGTTTGAACGTTAAAAGCCTCTTGATTGATTGATACTAACACAGCTTTTTGCTTCACAAGACAATTATTGTAATGTTGTTATCAGCTGTTTGGACTCTCATTCTGACGGCACCCATTCACTGCAGAGTATCCGTTGGTGAGCAAGTAATATAAAAATGTTTCCGAATCTGTTCTGATGACAAAACAAATCATCTATATTGGATGGCCTATGGTAAATTTTCAGCAAATTTATTTTTTTTAGTGAACTATTCATTTACGTCTGTGTGACATAGAAGAGGGTTCTGAACATAGCTAGTTTCTGTTTGGTTTTAGCTGCTCTAAGATGGCCATCATCAACAAATCTGCTGCCACTTAGTCTTACAGGTAGTTCAGCTAGGTTTTGGAACATATGCTAGTTAACCAGCTATGAACAGCTTGCACCAAATAATGACCAATTTGAAGCAACAACAGCTTTGACAGGATATAGGAGACAAGCTTAAACTTTTTAAGACCATCTTGGCCAGACTGGGAAGATCAGCTAGACTAGCCTAAATCAGCTGGACTGATTTAAGATGTTTTAAGAGCAGTGTAATTTAGATATTTTTGTAAGGACTATGATATTTTTGTAACAGGGAATCAAACTCAGACTTGATGTGATAACAGGGTTCCCATTAACCCGAGGATATATCAGGGAAATGGAATTTCCAGGGTTGAAAAATCATAGAAATTAATCAGAGATTAGGAAGTCATGGAATTTTCCCTCAGCTCTAAAATAGCCTATTTATAAAATCCCGGGACGTAGCAACCACTATATGTAAAATATGCAAAAACGTTAATTTTGCATACCCGCAGTGAAAATGGGAAAATGTAGCTATTTGCATAAAACAAGAACGATTCCACTGACTACATGTCACAAGTCAACGCCCACGTTTTGATTCAGCAAATCAGTTAAATCGGTCGAATGCAGACAACGTGATTATGATAATGCATTCATATAGATTAAACATTTTTGTTCTAACCATTCAAATTATATCATAAAAATGTTTGAATAATGCATGAATGATGTTCAGCTATGCCAGTGGTTCTCAAACTTTTTACAGCGACGTAAGTACCCCCTGGGGCATTTAACATTATTCTGCGTACCCCCTTCCACTTAGACCGTCTATTAAAGGACATTATTTGCCCCCTTAAATTGATTTTTTTTTTTTACCTTTATAGAGGCAAACATTTCCTGTCCTTATTAATTGTATGTTATGTTTTATGTCATATTCTTAACATTCCATTAAGTGTATTATTAATTTAATAACTAAAGCAATAAATGATGGCAAATTGAAGTGATAGCCTAGGCAACCGCCAATAGGCGCTGTCTTAATGAGCCATGCATCGCGTCATTCATTCATTCATTCATTCAGTAACGAAGCAAAATGCTGTAGTTATGAATGGGTTATTGACTCTCCAAATCGTTCAAAGCCGCAGATGCACCAGATGATACGGATTTCGTTGGAACTATTATTATTTTGTTGCAAAATACAATATTCTGTTTAAAATGTAGGCCTAGGCTACATTTAAAATGTAAAATGTTCACTTAATATGACCTTTTTTTGTTGAACTGTTGTAAAAATTGTCACATTTGCCATCGTTTGGATATTCAGGGAAATTTGCATTCTTGCTCGTATTTTAAACATGAAAACAATAACTCGCACAGGGTGTCTGTATCGAAGAGAGTTTAAATCGATCTCACTCTGTGTTTGTCTCAGTGGAAGTGTCTTACATTGTTGGTTGTTCCCTGTCTTGTTATGTACATTAAGCAATAATAAAAAAAAAAAATTCGATCTCAATGTACAGTGCGTGCCAATATTTGCTCCTCATGCTGTTAAGTGAAGATCTAGGTTACTTTAAAGATACATTGAACAGCAGCGTGATTTGCTAATGCAGCATATTCAGCGGGCATCCTATCACATGCACACTGCTTGTGTGGTCAGTTTTGACCGCAAAAGATGAGGTAATTTGATTGGATGTCATGTATTTGACCGTTTAGGCCTACGGCACTACCACTTTCCT